GATGGGGAAGCTGGGAAGGTTTTCCGAGGGATGACTTCTCCGGGCGTTGGTCCGGTCTCCCACGCCTCCAACCAAGCACGTGTCAACAGAGGCGGTAGGGAGGGGCCTTTCAGTGAATGAACGCGGGAATGAAGGGACGATGAACGAAGTGAACTTTAGCGACTCCTTCCTAAAGTCGGCCTCCCAGACCTCTCGCTGGAAGTAGGCCGCGCTACCGCAACGGGAGCCTCGATCCCCCAGACAGCGGCGAGGGCAGCGGCACAGTCACAGCTTTCAGCCTCGCCCACCAGAGGGCGCCAGCCTCCCCGCCCCTCCCCGCCCCTTCCTTTCCGAACTGCTGCTGCGGGAAGGTGATCGGTTGGTTGATCCTAAGCCTGGTTGCCACCACCTCCAGGTTCCCAGTGGGGGAGCATTTCAGAAAGCTGGAGACGGGCGCCTGGAACTCCGATCTTTGCAACACAGGGATCATCTTCCTTCATCTTCAATTTGAGTAAAAAGGAAGATTAAAAATTGGGCCTCTGCTCCTCACCTTGGGCGGGAAAGAACTGCCGCTGGGGACTTGATTTGAAAAGGGAGTGTTTTGGTGTTGTTGGGACACTCTTCCATTCACCTTACCTGTATGATACCAGACCCTCCCTATTACCAAGCAGGCCCTCCCATTGTTCACTCATTTGCCCAGCAATGGTGTGGGAAGGAGTGGGCGTCTGTCCATCCTCAGTGTGTCTGGCCCCAGGCAGTCTCAGGAGCTAACCTTTTGTTTGTTTGTTTGTTTGTGGGGCATTGAGATCCCAGGCCCCCCATCCCATCAACACATCTGCTGAACTGCTGACCCCAGTTACTTGCATACACATTCATACTCACACCAGATACATCCCTTTCTCTTCTTGGCACAGCAGTAGCCAAGCCCAGAACTACCTGACTCCAAGCACAGAGAATCCTAGACCAGGCTGTGTGCTGGGGGGTAGGGACCCCTTGGCCCAGGAGATTGAATCCCAGGGGCCCTCTCTGCCCCCATATGCCAGGCCACCCGGATTCTGGTTTCCCTGTCACCCAATCTGGCTAGCTCCCTCCATCTGGCCCCTGGAATCAGGTTTCTAAGGGCCCAGACAGGCTCAAAGACAGCCTGCAAGACTGGAAGACTCAAAGACCAGCCTCAGCCCTACCCCTCACAGGCCCTCTCAGGGTCTGAGCCCCCTCATGGGGCTAGGGATGCACATTCCTCTGGCTGCTTAAGCCCCCTTATCTGCCCCCCTGCCCATCAGCCTGAGTGCTGACAGAGGCCCAGACCCCTTGTTTGGATGCTGATAACCTCCTGGAATGGCCCTCCCCCACCTGTAGGGACTGGGGATGGGCTTAATGTTGGGAGGTCCTCTCCCAGTAAAGCAGTTGGGGCCCAGGCTTGGTCTGGCCCTAGGGGATAACAGGATCCCACATTTTCTCATCCTCCCCCACCCAGACCCAGGCCCACCCTCAGTGCTGCCACAATGCCACCTGGTGGTCCCTAGGGGAATGCCATCTCAGCAGAAATCACAAACGAGTTGCAAAAAACTCCATGCCATTTATTTCAACTTTTATCCAAAAGTGTAAAAAGTGTTAAAAACGTGTAGTCCTGAGTTTCAGACACTGACCTGCAAACTCATAAGCAAGTGGGAAGAGAGGGTCAGGACAGAAGTTTAAAGTTCTTCCCACTCTTGGAGAAAAAAGAAGCCCTAGGCATGGTATTAGATTAGAATAACTGGGCCCTATGGAGAACAAGGTCCCCAGTTTTCTAGCACCCGCCCAAGAAGCCACACCCACACCCCTCCTCTTCAACGGAGAAGACACATTTGAAATTCTTGAAACTTGTACAGGAACATGGTGCATGGCGCATGTGGCAGGCAGCTAGATGACCTGAGGAGAGTAAACAAGGGGTCAGCATCTGGCACTCATATCCTCTTCCTGCCCCAGACCCAGAACCTGCTGGGTACCCTCCCCCCACTCACCAAAGAGAGCTAGGGCCTGCCCCTCTGCTTCTTGGCAGGCAGGATGGGGCATAACTCAACTGCTTCTTCCTCACTCCCCTCTTCACTCTCTTCTTCCTCAGAAAGATCGTTGCTTATAGAAACTAGTGGATACACAAGCAGTAAAAGGAGGGGAAAATTAAAATACGTCCGCCGCCCCCCCTCTTACCGTAGTAAGTCAGTTATTCATGCCCTGTGGTGCTAGGAACCCTGACATCCTGGAGCTTATGGTTTAGATGGGAAGAACCTCAGATACTAATGTGGGTGACAAAAAGCCAAATAAGTCCATATCCTGGTGGAGGAGAAGCTTGGACCAGTTCCATGAGGAGGTATGCATGAGTAAGACAAAGTAGAGGGCACCTCATGCAAAGCGGTGTGTGTACAGCGCACTGAGATAACATTGGAATGAAGCAGGAATGCTGAAAGAAGGGAACCTAATGGAGAATCCACTGGAGGCAAAGGAGAAAGTTCTCACCAATCTGGTGCCGCCCAGTGATCCGCACAGGGCCAGAGCCTGATTTCAGGCGAAAGGTTACAGGTGGCTGGAGCTGGAAGTCATCCAAACTGAGCTGGAAGGAAGACAAGGATGAAGGGCTGGCCCACTCCATCTTGGTATGAGTCCTGAAGTCCTCAAATCCTATCTCCCCTCCCAAGGTTTGGCCAGGAAACTCACCATGGGTTGGCAGGACAACTTGAGGTTGGCCACAGGGACGGCAATCTCCTGGTGGTCATGGTTCTTGGCCACAACTTCCACCACATTACATTCATCTTTGGCCCCCTCGGTGAGGCAAAGCTGGGAAAGGTACACAGGCACTGTGGGTCTCTCCAAGAGAGGGTTAACACTGCCAGTGGAGGTATCAACCCTCACTTGTCCAGGCCCCAAATCACTTAGCCAGAGGATCCGCCCCCGTGGGAATAAGGGGTGGAGAGTGGGGTGGGCGTAGAGGCCCAACAGTTGCCGTCTAAGGTCGAGCTATTCCACAGCCCATCCCTTTCCTCCCTCCCCTCACCATGGTCAAAGCCAGCACGTGCTCTGCATCATCCTCTTCCTCTACCTTGAAGGTGAAAGAGCGGGTGTGGCCGGAGAGCTCACAGCCTGGAAAAAATACGTTTAAATACGTGCGCGCGGGGTGGGGGTGGGGCGTGCGCCAGGTGGGGATGGGGGTGTCACCAAAACTCGGACACGTGCAGCCCAAGGTTTATAGTCCATTTACACGCCCACATCTCCAAAGGAACACCTGGGGAGGACAGCCTGGGCCCCGCCCCGCATTTCTGGGGCAGGGGTCTCGTCAACCGTCACCCAATTCCGTTCAAACTGCCGTGTGCCGGGCCCGGGCCCCCTCCCACGTCGTGCAACGATCTGCATTCCTGTTCCTCAGTCCTGCCTCTTACCACCCCAGCACCACCCTCGTCCCCAATACCGAAAAAAAAACTGTCCATCGTGACCGGAGCCGGGATCCGCAGACCCCCGACACCCCCGGCACGGACTCGGCTCTCCTGACTCAAGAACGCCAAGGCGGCGGCAGCGCCAGCGGCCATGCTGCAAAGGCCGTGACGAAACTCCGCCCCCGACACGTACAAAGCCGGGGACTGTCTGCGGCTTTGGCCCCGCCCATTAAAGGAACCGCTCACCATAGACTGACAGGAGACTGGCCCAGAACTTCTTGGCTCATTCTCCCCTAGGAGCACTTGGCCTCCTCAGACCTGTCAACATGGAAAGTAGCAACAGAAGCACGGGTTTGGGATTCCCGTCCTAGCATATTTAAAGTGCCTCCCTAGTCCTCTAACCCGGGGACACCTCTCCTTAAAGGGAGACACAAATAGAAACTAAACCACAGCCAAGGCAAGCCTCAGAAAAACGTTTTGCTAGGAAAAGCCAAAACCTGCACTCAGATTTGCCTTTGCTCTGAGATTCAAGTATGACTTCACCCCAAACTACTCGACCTCTCCTGAGGCTGCTGTTCAGGCCAGTACTATGCAGGTGGCTTCCGAGCTGTCCTGCTCCCAGCTAGTAGCAGGGACATTGGCTCAGGGTGGAACTGCTGCTCCCAGCAGATGCAGGATTTGGGGTTTATAAATCCCAGTCAGCTCTGACACATCCTTCTGCCTTGGACTCCTACTTTGGAATACTTCCGCCATCTTGCCTTTTGGCCAATGGTTTAGGCAAATTGTCACTTATCAAGGTAATTACCACCATAAACTACATGCAAGTTTAACTGGCAAGAAAGTGGCTGAGCAAAACCAATCTCGTTTTCTTGGCTTTAAGCTTTTCCTTGTCTCGAGTAAAATCTTGAAGTCCTTTACTAAATCAATGGTTCTAAGTGGGGACTGCCTTCAAGATAGCTACTGAGAATACTTACTTGTAGGTGAGGCATGAAGAGGAAAAAAGTTAGGAAATAACAGAGTAGGTTTACACAGTACACCACCACACACACATTCACTTCAAGTTTTATTTTGCCTCTTGCATTATTGGTCTTCTGATAGTTTTACAGTTCATTTTCTACAAGAACTGAGCTGAGATCTAGAACAATCAATTAAATGTCATTCCAACCTTAATAAATATTCTTAACCATAGATAACATAGCACTTTATGATCCTACAGTGATAAAGATATGTCTGGACATCTGTCTTAGCATCTGTGACCAGAAGACCAGCCAAAGTGATTATTAAAAGCCAAGATAAAGTCATAAGCAAACTTGCTAAAAATCACAATTCCACTGATTGACCCTGAAATCCTCCTGATAAAATGCTGTAGTTGTCCACTACTGAACCAAATATAAAGAGAAAATCAAAGACATTGTCATTTAAAGTATCTTGTAGAGATCTTCACCTTAGCCCTTGTTAAGTTTTGCAACACACTACATATCCTTTTATCAGTTGAAAGTCTACCCTGAAAATGCAAACTCTTCCTTTCCTACCCTCTTCACCAATTCACAGGTCTTCACTACCATTATATACACCTCCCCCAAAGCCTACACTGATGGAATTCTTTGATGGAAAATGTTTCAAGTTTCCTTCTGTTCCTCCCACCTCAGCTCAAAGGTGAACAGCTGATACCAAATTGCAGGGACCCAAGATACCAAACAACTGTTAGGAACCTATGGAAAAATTAGCCAGCCATGATGAAAAATGAATCCTGCAGGGATAACCAGCTAGCCTCATGCTCAGAACCTTAAAAACATCAAATTTAAATTAAAATACATGAAGCGTTCAGAATATGTTAAGAGGGTAGGTTGGGGTGGGGGAAGGATAACAGTAAGCCATTGGTTAAAGTGTGCTCATTCTTTTAAAAAATAGATACAAGCATGCAAGAATTAAAGACTCTGATTAATAAAACTAATAGTAACAGGTCCTGAAGTTAAAGGACAACTGGTCAGAGGGCAACTGGAACCAATCAATCCCTGAACCCTACTTTGACAGATGTCAAGAATTTAACATTTCACATGCTGACCTGCATTGAGGTTAACTTCCAGAAGTGACTGCACTTTCCAACAGAATCCTATAAAATAGGCCTGGTACCCAAAGTGGTCACTGCCTACCCCTAGGTGGGAGGCACTTTAAAAATGATAACATTTCTAAAAAGAAAACGCATCTCTTACTGATTTACATTATTCAAAGTGCCATCCCTGAAGCACACCCGTTCATTTTCAAAAGAAAAAAAATTACAGAAACAGTTAACACATAGGTCACAGCCAGCTTATATACAATAAATTTACAAGTTTGTCATTTTTTAGGCTTTTGCCACAAACAACTGCACATTTGTCCCTACAAAGCACATGCTTGAGCCAATGGTCACTACAGGAAAGTGGCTGTGGCTTTACAAAGCAGAAAAACTAACCAAAATTTAAATCATTTGTTCAATTTAAACCATGCCACAACCATGGAATCTCTGCCCTGAACCTCTAAAACCCACTAAGTCTTTCTCATCTCTGCCATGTCCCCAAAGAGACATTTCATTCAACAGGTCAGACAGAGTGGATGACAAATGATTTTGATTACCCTTGGGTTAGAAATGCAACCACACTGGATGCAGAAAACAGTGCTGACTACATTTATTGAAGACCCCCCTCCCTATAAGCCCTTGTAAAAGTCAACTGACACCTAACACAAGACCCAAAAAGGAGGCCCACATCCCTGTTTCATACAGGATTTGCAGCAATACTATCTTCTTCCAACCAGTGAGTGGTCTCAAAGTGTGATGGGTTTTACATAATCTTCTTTTGTTTCCAATCCCAATTGGCTCATTTGTTGCTTCTCCAGAGGCTGAACTGTATGAAGACCCCAACCACCACCCACCAGGTGAAGTTAAGACTTTTGGACAGTTCATAGTGCCCACAAATGTCACAGACTCCGACCAAGTATAACCACATCCTTTGGAAATCCTTCCATTTTTGCAATTTCAAAACAGCCTAACTTGCTGTAAAATTCCAGAATTCTTTTATCGTCTGGTCTCACTTCACAGAAAGCCCCCCGGGAGCCTAGAAATAAAATAAATATGTAAACAATAATTTAAGCAAAATTAAGGCTATCAATTATGATTTATCTTTTATTTCACAAATTGATCATAGGAGGTTAGCAATACCAGCTCCAGTATTCCTTCACGATACTTAAAATTTTATACCTCTGAAGTAAAACAAAATACATTTGAAGGTTGAGCTTAGGTCAACTATTTGGCAATTCTCAGATGAAGTTCCTCCCCCAAAGTTCATTTAATTTTTTTTTGCATAGAACTGGAGGCCAGAGGTTCGGGGGTGACAGGATTCACCAGAGACAGAGTGGGAAACAGAAGGGTTGAATTTACTGAAATACATTGCTAAGGGAACAGGAGGGGTAACGGGAGAGATCTGCTGAGCCTTAAATGGGTTAATGTCTTGATAGGTGATAGAACTCATTATTTCAATAGGTCACCTGTAGGCCAAAGTGGTGGTAGTGCTGAGATTTAACCCCTAGACAAACAAGAAGGCAGAGCTTCATTTAATTTTCAGTTTGTCATTTGAGTCTCTTTGCAAAATAAGTATAATCTCTTTGAGTTTACCTCTCATTTAACTGAAGCTTAAAGTAATCACAGCATAAGAGAGCAATATTTTATTGTTAATACACATGCAATTAACTCCTATACCACTGATTATTCAGAAGCCACACCATGAATGGTGTGCAAATCCACCTTTAGCTCTAAAACATAATCTTGCCCCCACCCTGACTAAATACCAACAACTCCACAAATACCAACTCACCGTTAGCCTTCAGTGAAGACAGGAGGCAAGCCATCATGCTTTTGGCTACACTTGGGTCGGTTACTTTTTTGTGAATATCCATCTTTATTAGAGAAGGAAAATTGGCAAGAAATGTTTCCGGCAATACTTCCTGCTCTTCATGGAAACTCAACATTATTTTCTGTAAATATTAGGAAAAACCTCTTGATTTTCAGTAGCTAGTCTTTATAACATAAACGTTGGAGTTTATATCAATATACCAAAGCTGATTTCTTAAGACTTGGACAAATGTAAAACCTGTTCTTGTATATACAGAAGTGTATCATCAATTTCTATAAATCTAAAATTTAAAAATTTCGAAGTGTATTACTTGCACCCAAAAATGTATTTAACACAATGAACTGTACACTTGAAGATAGATAGCTAAGATGATAAATTTTATTTCATCACAGCTTTTCAAGTTTAAAGTTTAAGTTTAAAGTAAACAGAAACACTGGTTATTATTTCTGTTTCTACACTGAAAAGTATAGCTGTCAGATATCTAAAAGTATCTGAGAATAATTACCTTCAAGAAACTTTTAAAAATACACATGCTACAATGTATAAGTAAAAATAACTAATTTTTTTTAGAGAAAAAAACTCACTGAAGTTGGAACTAGATAGATAAGCTAAGTGCTTCTACTAGAAAATACTGTCAGAAGCTCATCCCATTATTTAATTACAGTGAGAAATGCATCAGTGAGAAAGCAAGTTAATTTCTGACAGGCAGATTTTAATTTTCTAATCTTGCCCAAATTGCCCCAAGAGGAGACCCTAACATGTTTGATGCTTCAACACAGGGAGGAAAAAACAGGTTGTATTGCATTTTACCTGAGTGGAAAATAATAAGCCCAAAGATTCTTTTAAGATATTCAGAAGCCACAGAGATTTCATGACATATCTATTTACTTTTTAGTTTTATTTTTAAAAATTACCATAGTATTTCTAAACCTATATTACCTCAGCCTCAGAAAGTTCTTTATCACCATTTGGCTTGGTATACTTTTCCTGCATGAAGGGAATCCAGGAAATTTTACATTTTTTAATAAAGGGGGTCACATCTACAGTGCCCAAGGCATAACCACATATGCCATCTTCATCTTCTAGAACAAAGCAATAATCCAGGCTGAGGGAAAGCAGTCCTCCTACCAACCTGCTCAGAAGAAAAGAGGCCAGAGTAAGTTTATAATTGACTAACAAAAATCTTCCAACTTCAATAAGGTCTAATATAAATGACAACCTATCTAATTTACATTCAATACAAAATGAAACTAGAAATGTAACATATTAATACTCAGATTCTATTAAAAGTAAATTAGAACTTGAATTTCCATTCTTCGCCTCCCCTCAACCTGATAAATCTGAATATGAAATGTCTACTCCCAAATCTAACATCCAAACACTTCATCACATACTTGTCTCCAATAAGGTCAGGTTGACTTTGAAAAGGCAAACCCACTCCATCGTCATACATTTCTCTGCAAATCTTGTACACGGAAGCCTGAAAATATAATCTAGTTAAGCAACACATCAAGAAAAATGCAACAGAAATTTAAGATGACTCACAAGTCATACTGGACCTCTAGGAAACGCTCTAACAAAATAATCTGTCATAAAGATCACCTCTGCTTTGTTAAATAAAAGATCCATTCAGTCATTTCTGTCAAGTTAGAAAACAGTATGACTATAACAAACACTGAGAATTCATTAGCAAGAGATGTTTTTAGGCATAAAATAGTGGATTAAAATCTACTTATATAAGCCAAGTCAATTCTCTATACATTTAAAATGTTTTAAACATGTTAAATGTTTTCAACAGGCTTGCTTTTTATTCAGTACCTAGTAACTGTCCCTACAGACATTTTTTAACCTAAAAGTACAGAACAGTGGTATATTGCAGAAAAATCAGTCAAGGACAATATATCCTTTGGACACAATGTTCAGTAATTCCAACTATTAATATACTTCATCAGTTTTTTTCCCCCCCAAGTGAGAAAATGACTTAGCACAAGGTAAAAGGAATCTAAACTCTTCAGAGTCTTGCTTAAATTTTTCTGATGTGTTCAATGTTTCACTTTCTCCATCAAAAGTTCATAAAACCAATGAGTTCAAATGAAAGTACTAAGTGTGCACCATAACCATATACCAAGTTGGTAGGTAAACAATTACCTCATCTTTAGGAAAATACGGTCTAATAGTATAAACTTTGGAGGTAGGAGTCAGTGGGGGTGGTTGAAAAAAGAGATCATTTGCCCCATCAATTGGCAGCAAACGCTGTAGGAAGAAAAAAAAAAGGAAATGAATTAGTGTTGGGAAGATAATCAGTTCTTTAAATGGGTGTGCACTGCAGATTACCAACTTAACATTAACTGGCTACTGCAGGCAGACCTAAAGAAGAGGGGTGTACTATACTAATATAAACACTTGCTGGGGGAGGGGAATGCTTCTGAATAGAAATTACCCAAACTGAGTTACATAGCTTTAGTGACGTATTAGTGGGGATTTAAATTTACAGTAAAAAGAAAATCTATTCCAATTATGACAAGTCTTTTTTTTTAAAACCAATCTTTTATACAGTCCATCTTTCTACTAAAAGATGGCAGTACAGAATGTCAGGAGGAGAGGTTTGGTCTGAAGAGGGTTATCTGTCCAGGAGACGCTTTTATCCCCAAAGCAATGCGCTTCAGTTTGCTGTGCGCAGCAGAGCACCTGTTGGGGGGAGAAAAGTAGAGCACCTGAAAAGTCCATGAACAAATTTCAGCACCAAAAAAGTTTCGTATTTTGTCTAAATTATCATTAATGGACTGTTCTGTCAAGTGTTAAGTCTTATTTATAAAGTAACTAGAAAACTATCCAAAGGTCCTTTCACCATTCACATGAGTAATTAGCTTTTTTGCTCATGGAGTTTCCACTGGCAGATAAGCATGCGCGCATTGTGCATTGCGGGCGCAGATTAAATTGCTGTGCGACCTGCAAAGAAACAATGTGAGGTGTATACCTAGAGCCGCTGCGCTTCGCAGGCGCGGGGGAAATTGGCAGCATCTCCTTCAGAAATTACTGTGAAAGAGGAGGAAAATTTGATTTAAAATCCAGCTATGTGACTAAATTGAATTTGGGACTAGAAAGCCTTCGGCAGACCAATCCTTCCAGCCATCTGATGCGCAACATAAGTTTTCTCATAAAACAAAGAAAATGTCAATTCAGTTGTGAATTCATATTGATACCTGGAACTCTCCTGCTAGACCACCTCTAAAGGCCCAGGGTTCTTGGTCTCCAATTAAGAACTGTGCTGAAGAATGACTACGACACCCTGTTGAGATCAGATCCAAGCGGAGAACGTTACGAGAAAGGGGATTTCCTGGGGTCTCAAATGTCCAACAAACTAACAAACACTTCGTGGAAATAGCTTTCTAATAATAATAATCCAGGGTTTCAGGATAAAGGCTGTGATAATAATTTTATTTGCAATGTAAATTCCATAATGATTTTCCTTCTTCTAATGATAACTATTAAAGAGCTCTATCCTTTTTTTAAAATATGCAAGGAAATTCTTGTTTGTCTTGGTCAAATTTATGTACTTCCTAGTTATAAAAATCAAGCCAGCTGCTTGCTCTGTATTGAGATTACAGTACAGTGAACTACATGAGATGAATCATTTTATTATCACAGCCCATGAAGGAATTAAACCTGTCTGAAGTCACATTTTACATTTGAAGGAAGGATACAGGAAAGGGAAAAGGGGGAAAAGGGTTAATCTTGTCAGAAAACTAAGGTCAGCAGAATAAATAGACACAATTATCCAGTAAGAGTTTTGTTTTTAATCTCAAGACAAGGACAATCCAAATTTAGACTTGGCTAGTACTAATACTGGTCTGGCATAAGCTGAGAACTAAGGAGAAACAACTGAGCTTCTCATTTGTGCAAAGCTAAGACATACTTTTCTTAAAAGTATGACATCTGGGTCCTCTGGACTGCATTATAATTTTTGCAGTGCACTGAACTCAAGCATCAAGTAATCAGCTCTGAAGTCCAGACCTGAGTTGTAAGGTCACCACTCAACCAATTTCATAGGTAATTAAAACAGCTGAGAGAGATAATTAAAGGTAAGTAATTAAAGGTAAGTATTTGGATACCAAATCAAAGTCACCTGCCTAGTCTTCTGACAAGATAAAGCAGCGCAAAATAGTTCTTTTCCATTTGAAGACAGCATTCTACCTCCTGTTCAAGTTAACAGTCTCATCAGTACAAGAATGTAGTGTGCTAGTCAGACAGTCCCAAAGCAAAACAATTTTTTTGTTGACAATTCAGGCCCATTAAAAGATTATAATCCAGGTTTGTAAATTTTTTAGGGGTAGGGGTACTTAAAAACAATGTATAATAAATATGAAATAGGGTCAAATTTAAAGCTATTTAGAGAAACTGCCCCATTCCATAGCTCAGTGTAAATTGACACTGCAGGAAAAAACTGTACCTCTCAAAACTTTAAGATCAGCCAATTTCCCCTACCCCCCAACTTTGAGACTACAACGTAACTAGCACTTCCAACTATTACAGTAAAAAGCTGCATGTACGAAGAGCTGTGTAAATGAAAATATGGTTAATGCCTCAGTCGCTGCGCAAACGTGACTTCAGTTCATGCCTACTGCCCTTGAATCTACCTGAACTACCTCACAGACAGAACCTTTCAATTTAAACTAATTAATCATGACGCGCTGTGAACATCTGCCGCTGTCCATCCAATAGTAGTAGACACTTGTGCTGAGGATTCTCCCATCTGTACACAATGGGGAAGAAGATAATAGAAGCCATTAGTAATCAAAAGTACTACATAGCCACATTCTTTAAAGGACTGAATGCCAGCTGGACCGGAGAAAGGAAGAAAACAAAGGGTTCTAATTAGTAACTCCCTGAAATTACTCTAGAACCATTAAAAATACTATCCTCATGAATTTTGTAAAAGATACATAGATGCCAAAATGACTTAAAAACTCCCATGATGCTCTGACCCTGAGTTTGTATGACAGCTCTTATACTATTTGGGAAAGCTGCCCCCCAAATTGCACAATACAGAGGGAAAGCCTGAGGAAAAAGAAACATGGCTGTAGATAATCAAGAATTTTTAGTAATTCTTGAATGAAAAGATGAATATGAAATGTTTTAGTGCCTTCTCAAGCTCAACAGCCCAGAGTCTGGGTTGGAATTTTAAGACTGAAATCACTGTAAGGGTTAATTATAACCTGCTGGCCTGAAGTCTGTGAGTCTAATGGCAGGTATCTATCACAGAAGAGAGAGCTCTTGGAGCCTTATAACATGTGGTCAAAATTCTCTACCTATTGTGCGATATACACAAACTCAGAATTCATTATTTTTAGTTTTAGTTGTATGCCAGGAAAATAGCACTTTTAAATATTTAAGAGTCCAAAAGTATAAGGGCAAGGAAGTGAAAAATCTCATAGCTATTTTTCCTTAATCTATGCTCAAGGTGTTTTACACACTTACTTCATAATCAAGACTATGTAACCCATTATAGTATTTGTGACTACTATGAAAATTGTAACATGTCAGTCAGCCTTGCTGCCTGCTGTGTGCTGTAAGTTCATCACATATTCCGTAGAAGGATTGAAAACCTGGAAATGAAATGAGGTCCCTATAGAAACTTGGCCATGCTGGTGCTTTTTACCAAGTTTTAGAAATTTCAAAAAGTAATTTCCCAAGAAACATTATTTTTAAACATCTACTTAATGAAGCAAAAAGTTTTTAAGGGCTACAACTTCCATCCCCTGCTAAAACCAATTACTTGGTAGAGGAATAAAGAAAAGTCAAGCAAAATATACCAAATAGCACCAGAATAGCCTCACACTGAAGCTCGCATGCGCACAGGGCTGGGAGGATGGCTTCCTCTTGCCAGGCCCCTTAGTCATCTCGGCAATTGTTCTGGTAAACACAGCATTATTAAGACACAGCAAGCAGCAGAGAGCTTACAGTCACATTTCATAGTGTCTCATCTCCAAATCAGGTAAAAGTGGTATACAGGTTCCATCCAGGAAGCATTCAGTCAGAGCAAGTTAAAGTCAGTACTGTCTAGCACATTTTTTCCAAGATATTTATGCTGAATTAGCCCAAGGGAGAAAAATCAATGTGGTACATGTATTTACTGAGACTTGTACCTCAAGTCTGCAATAATGGCTACAACTTTGAAAGAAATCTAGGCAAAGAATTTAGCATTGGAAATTTACCAATTCTTAAGTTTTTCTCCCTATGGGATAATATGTCTTTTTTTCTTTAAGGACAATATATCTGAGGAGAAGAGATTGTTCCTAGTGCACCTACCTAACCACTGTACAAAAGACTTCACCATAGACATTATACTCTTGATATCCCAAACATAGGAGTACATGTCATAAAGAATTGTCCTGTTGGCACAATTGGAGAGCCGGGTGAACATTCCCATCACTAGTCCACACATCTCTTCAAACTTGGCTGCACGTGATCGCCATTCTTCAATCTATTGAGAAGCAATACAAGAACTCAAAAAATTGCAAGCTTAAGAAAATAATGTAAAACACAGTTATCAGATACCTTTAATTTATCCTAAGCACTGAAGGATCAGTAGGCTTAAAAGATATTCAGATAAGCCAATGAGGTCTATGTCTCCCCAGACTGACAAGTATTCCTAAAACAATCAACTTGGGACTTTCCTCCACTCCTAACTATAAAATTAAGTTATGAAAATGACAATACCAGACTCAGCAGAGTCCACGTCCACTTTAAAGGGCATATGTCATCAATTTTCTACTAGTTAGCAGTGTACTCATTCAAAATCTGTTCCCAGGCCTCCTTGGTGGATCTAAAGGGTTAAGTCTCAGCACTATCAAAGCTATCAGCAGCTACTGCAACACAAGTGTGATCCTGCCAGGGAGCTGACCCACATGGCTCAGACCTCTCCTGTCTTACCACTGCTCCCGTCAGCAGTGTATTTCAGTCAGTCTACCTGTTCTGTTCTTCATTCTATCTCTGGTGAATCCTCTCATCTCCCACACCTCTGGCCTACACCCAGCTCTTGTATGCATAAACAAATAAAACAAATCTTTAAAAAAACCACCAAACCAGGGCCCTCCCTGGTGGTGCAGCGGGTTAAAGCACAGCACTGAGAAGCTAAAGTCACTTCCGCATGAGTTCGATTCCCGCCTGCCCCAGAGGTGACCACATGGTGTGGCAGACCTCTCCTGACCCGCCCGCTGCTCCCCTCAGCAGTGTACTTCGTTGATCTGCCTGTTCTGCTCCCCGCTCTGTCTCTGGTGAAGTCTCTCACTGCCCCTGAGTCTCTGGCCTGTACCCCAGTTCTGTATGTACAAATAAATAAATCTTTAAAAAAAAAAAAAAAAACAAAAAAAACCACCAAACCTCTTCCCAGATGGCCAACATGGCAATTCAATTCAGCCCAAAAGCAGCAGGAAAATTAAACATACTCACTTTTTCAGAGTCTTTTCCTTTGCAATTGACACTGACCACACTGCTATTAGCTCGAAGCCACTGGAACTCACGTAACATCTGTGCTCCTTTGGGCCCATGCTCATAAGGAAGATAGAATAAGTCAGCAAGTAACTGCAAATCCTCCAGAGTCACTGGTTCTGCAGTGTACAAAGGTTTTTCATTTGGACCTGGCACAAATTGCTCTTTGTTTGTCTGTTCATCAGTCTGCATAGGGGCAATATCACCAATGCAATCTTCCTGCATAGACATCTCTGGAGACTTTGATTCAGCTATGCTTTCTTTATCAGTGTCCATTGGCTTCAGCTCCTCTGCCATTTTAGCTTCAACAATTTCAGTTAGTATCTGATTGTCATTCTTGTGATCTGTTTCTTCTTGTTTTTCCACTACCATGTCCATAGGCTCCTCATCTGGCTGTTTCTTTTCTTCTTCCTTGCTCAGAGCTGTAGATTCACCACTCAAGGCTGCTCCCTGGCTCATAATGGGCTCCTGGTAAACTGTTGTAACAACAGTTGTAGCATTTAAAGAGGGTGCTGCAACTAGAGGAGTCCCATCAACTACACTTGCTTTAGCTCCACTGTGTGCAACTTGCCTACCTACAAAAACAAATTGCCACAAAGACAATCAAAATTAGAAACAACAACAATCTAGAGAAACATTTTATGTGTAACTGGAACCTCAATTTGAGATTCCCAATGATTTGAATGCTGAGAAACGTGTAATTTCTCTAAACCGCACCAGGAGGTGAGGGAAAAGAAAAGGCAGGTAATTAACATCCAGGAAAATATCAACATCCTCTTATTGTCTCTTTCAAAGACATTAAAGACAATAATTATTTTAAAAATATTATTTTAATATTTTTAATATTTAATAATTATTTTAAATATATTTAAAATATATTTAAAAAACAAAATAGCAACCACCAGGATCAAAATTACTAAAAGTCAAAAGTAGGATTATATAAATCTTATTATTTATTGGATTTCCTAAATTTCACTTTGCTTGGAGGACCTATATGGTATATCACAAGTCCTTTACTTTGTATTCAACCATATGATTCAAACCCCTTGAGCCAGACTCACTGCTGTATTGATGAGGTACACCAAATTCCTGCAACCACTCTGTTAAAGCCAGCTTTAGAGCCATCTGTGGACTATAGAGTACATCAGTTTCAATATCTTCATCACTGCCTTCATTTTCTAATTTTATCTGGATTGATACCGTACTGTCCTCACTGTCAGCTGCAAAAGAGTAAAAGAACAGTTTTGACTACACAAGTCTCTTGACAAGTTTGAGGGACAAATGCAAAAATGCAACTCATAACTAGCTGTTAGGGTATAAACAAAGAAGCAAAGAAATGGAACCATAAATATAAAAATGCAAAGATGAGCAAGACCATTCACTGACCCTTTTTATCTATAACAGTCATCTAAATGGAAACTATCAACTTAAATAAAAAGCACTAGCTTAACAATCACTGGGGGAAAAAATCATTACAAGTTCATTGATACTAGTTTTTAAGAAAGCAAGATTAAAAACATTAAGATTTCCAAAAATAAAACGAGTCATAATTAGGGCTGCTCCCTGGTGGTGCAGGGGGTAAGTCCACACTATCAAGCTCCTGCCACTGCAGCACAAGTTCTATCCCTAGCCATGGAGCTGACCCACATGGCAGAGACACCTCTCCTGTCTCACTGGCATGCTGTTCCTCACTCTATGGTGAGTCCTCTCAACCCCCACAGCTCTGGCCAACACTCTAGGTCTTAAATACATAAATAAATAAAAGTAGATTGTTAAAAAAAAGTTGTAATTGGTCAAATATTTATGAAATAATAATGGGCAAAATAATAATTGCAAAGGGGGAAGAAGATAAAACCAACAGTCTACATATGAGCATAGGCTAAGGCAATCTTAGCATGAGGACAACAATCGAAAAAAACTAAGTCTGTACTTTTTGGCTTGGTGTTCAAAACCTCTATTCTGGGGCCTCCATGGTGACACCAAGGGTGAAGTCCCTGCCCTGTGAAGCTTTCCTCTCAAGCCTATGCACCTCTGGCCTGTACCCCCGTTCGTGCATACATAAATAAATCTTTACACATTCACCAAAAAACCCCTCCACGCTTAGTTTCATTTCTCTGCATTTGGTCCAAACTGGCTTATGTTTACTATTACTTAACATGCTTCATGTTCTGCATGAAAAGAACATTAAAAGAAGTAGGAGTTAAGTGCTATGTATGCAGAAGGGATTTAGGTTATATACCTCTTAAAGAGAGACATTTAAATCAATGTACAGAATTGGAAGCAGGGGTAAAGAACTGAGAAATAGGACACATTATACCACTACATACCATCTCCCATCACAATGACACAAATTCAATACCCTCTGAAATGGGCCAAAATTCAGCTAGTCTGAAATGGCCCAAAATTCAGTAAATGCATTTGATAGTTAGAGCTGGCTCCTGGGTGGTTCTCCAGGACATATTTCTTCAGAACAGTGGTGGAGCAGGTCTTCGGCTCATTCATGGCAGCAAAGTTCTCCATAACTTTAATAACCAGCAAATATTACTCACACTCCAAAAGAGCTGAAATATCCTTTCCTCAGTGAGACCGTTTAACACTACTTTTGACTCCCTCCTGTATTCCCACAGTACTTTGTTGATAACTGTCTCAAAACTCTGATGACCATAGAGTACAAATGCATATGTCTATCCAACATTAGACTATGTTCTTCAAAAGTAAGAGATTATTTTTTTGTACCTTTAGTGCCTGGAAGATATACTTTACAAATCATAGATGTTTAAATATTAATAGTCAATATTCTTAACTAGAAATCAATGAGGAATTTTTTATAAATAAAAAAATCAGTCAACCAAAGTCCATAAATGCAAGCTGAATTTAAATTCTATATTAATTAAATACGATAGTCATCGGAGCCTCCCTGGTGGCCTACGGGTTATTCTTAGTGCTATCACTGTTACAACCTGAGTTCTATCCCCAGCCAGGGAGCTAATCCAGCCAGGGAGCTAATCCTGCGCTTTGCCTACTACTCCCCTTAACAGTACACTGTTCTAGTTCTGCTTCCCACTATCTCCGGTGAATCTTCTCACACTCCCACACCTCTAGCCTACACCCCAGTTCTGCATGCACACACAGCATATCTAGTATGGTATCTCGTTTAATAAAGTGAACCAAAAACAAAAATTGAATTAAAACAGTAATTCTAGGCCCTGGTGGCACAGCGGGTTAAAGCACAGCACTGAGCTAAAGCCACTTCAGCATGAGTTTGATCCCTGCCCCACAGCAGACATCTCCTCACCCGCCCATTGCTCCATTCAGCAGTATACTTCAACAGTAAGCCTGTTCTGCACCCCACTCTGTCTCTGGTGAATCCTCTCACTGCCCCTGCACCTCTGGCTATACCCCAAGTCTGAATGCATAAATAAATAAATCTTTTAAAAAATTTATATTTATATACAAATATATATGTCTATAAAGTAATTCTAGAGGGTCTCCATAGTGGCCTAGGGATTAAGTCTCAGTACTATCACCACCACACCCAGAGTTAGATCCCCTGCCAGGGAGTTAACCCACTGGCGCAGCAGACCCCTTCTGTCTCAGTATACTTCAGTCAATCTGTCTATTCTGCTCCCAACTGTGTCTCTGTTGTATCTGGCTCACCTCCCATCCCAACCCCTGCACCTCTGGCCTACACCTCAGTTCTTGTATGCATAAATAAATCTTTAAAAAAAATAAAGTAATTCTAAAGATAATGGGAATACTAAAAGCCTACCTTGTCTACTACCAGACTTTAAAAGCTAAGTCACATTTTAAAAACAAAAAACTGAGGCCAAGAAGTTGAATAACATGTCAAAGTCACTTAGTCCTTCTATCACATATATCTGTCATTCATAGGACTAAACAACCCATCTTAATCAATCCTCCTAAACTGGTCAAAGAACCCAGCTTTGTCAAGGGCTCTCATTAAGCTCAGCCCTCCTCTCAAGGTTGAGGATTAAATAGTCTACTTACACATCACTACATCTTTTCTCACTCCATTCATGTTTGATTTGTACCAGGTGGCAAGAGTATGAATAGCAACATAATTGGCTTCAAATTCACAATTTGGATTAGTGAGAACTCCTTTCAACCGAGGGATGAGCTCTGTAGATCTTCCTTTGTATGGGCCCAGAAATAGTCTCTTCTGATCATAATCATTAGCATGAATGTTATCCCAGATTACTGGAGCTCGCTTAATAATCTTAGAAACTTCTTCAATGGACTCTACTGGAATTTCTTTGGAAACAACTTTGGGACCTAGAAATAATGAGCATTTGTTAAAGACCTTCAGAGTCAGTCTGCCCGTTCTGCTCCCCACTCTGTCCCATGTGAATACTCTCACCCCGACACCTCTGGTCTGCATCCCAGTTTTTATATGCATACATAAGTAAATCACAGAGTACTGTATAAATCTCAAAGACTTACCTGTCCAAAGCACCTCAATTCCAGGTAGAAGCTTTTCACCCACAGTCCTTAAATAAGGAGACTGAGATACATTTGGGTAACAGAAAGTGCCACAATATTCTGAATGGAAAGGGAAAATTAAGTAAAATAGAGGGAAATGGTAATGAATATTTGAATAGGGAAAAAAAGTTTACCAACTCTAAATTCTTACCAAATGATAAAAGATGTTATGCCCCCAAAAAGTAAAATTCAAGTGGGTAGTTCATTAAGAAATCGTTAAAAAAAAATAATGAATTGTGGGCCCTCTCTGATGGTGCAACATGTCAAACTACAGCACTATGAGGCTATCTGCAGCCACTACAGCACGACTGACCCACATGGCATAGCAGATATCTCATATCTCCTGTCTTGCCCACTGCTCCCCTCAGCAGTATGTTTCAGTAGATCTGCCTATTCTGCTCCCTGATCTCTGGTGAATCCGCTCATCCCCCGTACCTCTGGCCTGTACCCCAGTTCTTGTATGCATAAATGAGTCAATCTTTAAAAAACAAATAAAATTATAAATTCATGAAATCTGATCTTCTCCCTTCAATAATAGTAAAGACCAACTGTTATGATCTCAGTTATTAGAAATGTAAGTTCACTAAAGAAATAATTAAAAACTTCTGCATTATCTTTACAATTCTGTATTGCCTATATTCACATTATATGTCAAAGGCCAAACAGAATGAACTGTTAGTAACAGAAAAAATACTTTATACCTAGTTTTAATGAATTAATTTCCAATAAATCTTAATGAACATTCTGAGTACTCATGTAACACCAGACCACTGATTAAAGTTCATGCTCACAGTACTCTAAAACAGATATACACACAAAATTAAATACAACTCAGTCTAAAATTTCCTAGTACTTGCTAATATTTTTCTGAGTAAGAAAAATCTAAAGAAAATTCTTATAAGCTTAATTTTAAGAGGCAACTAAGGGAAACAAAAGCATTTTCAGTGGAAGAAACCAAGGTGGGGGGAACTAATAGTTTTCTATGATGACTACTGGAAATAAGAGCCCAGACAAGAGTAGGAGGAGTGAAAAGACATGCCTAGGCAGGAAAAAGGAACAGCAGGAAGAAATAAAAAGTGAATTAAGTTAAAAGAAATATAAGGGCCCTTTCTGGTGGTACAGTGGGTTAAAGCACAGCACTGTGAAGCTAACCACAGCTGCTTCAATATGAGTTCGATCCCCGGCCAGGGAGCTGACTCACATGGCATGGCACACCTCTCCTGTCTTGCCTGATGCTCCACTAAGCAGAGTACTTCATCGATCTACCTGTTTGCTCCCCACTCTACCTCTGGTGAATCCTCTCACCAACCCTGCACCTCTGGTCTGTACCCCAGTTCTGTATGCATAAATAAATCTTTAAAAATTAAAAGGTAATGTAAATTTCAATCAAGTTTTCATTTTAATAATATCAACTACTTTAAGTCCTGAAAATGTGACCTTCATATACTTTCCAGTATCTTTTGCCAGCTCAGCTGTCACTTAGTGACTAAAATTTCTCTAATTTAAGATGATGAAAAATATCTTCTAGGAGAAGCATTCCTACCTTTTTTTAGACCAAAAGAGTGGAGGGGTGTAGGGAGAGGGAAGAACACTATAGAGTTTATACGTGGTGGTCTGAAAATAATTTATTTCAAGACAACTACTTTAAAGTAAAATTATGATATACAATACCTGTTGGACAGAAGAGGAAAGTTTCTGGTTCTCCCAGATACTGATAAATTTCATTTGTGATGGAAACCTGGGCATGAGCGAAAGAACTGAATACCTCTTTGTCTGCTGCACACATATTATGGTCAATATCATCAAAAAGCAAGGCAAATGACCTGCACCCAAACTGAGAAACCTAGGAAAAGGAAGAGATGCTTAGCCATCTTAACTTAAAATAAAAAATACAAAAGTCAAATCTATTGTTTTTATATTTTCTACATTAAACAGCATATTTTATATGTTATACTTTTATATTTTGTTATGTTTTTATATGTTCTATGTTAGACAGTTTGGGAATCACTTTACATTTGGGTTTGAATGAAATATAGCAATAAGGTCCAACAAAGCTTTTACAAAGTGGCCTATCCGTCTACCTCCTTGATTACTGGTCATAGACCAATCAGAGAGTAAACTCAAGATATGAAAAACCCAGGCCTATTGTGCTCACAAAAGATAAAAAGATGTGTGGCTTTTGTGTTAAGTAAAATTTATACTCCAGCTTGGTTCACTTAAGTCTTACTTGTGCTATGTCATCTTTTTTTCCTTCTCATCTTGGCTGAATTAGATCTCTTCTCTATATAACCAGAGAGTGATGTCTATGGGTAAAACCCCATTTCTATAACCTTAGTCACAAATGAAACCAACGTCCAGTAATGTTTCAAAACATGATTCTAAATCACAGAACTTCACAATCATCTGGATTCTCAGATGTCTACCTGAGATCAGTGTAATGGTCTCAAGTCTCAGTGAATGAAGCCTATTAAACATTCTTTTAAGTATTAATTCTAAGTGGTCTTTAATTAAGAATTTTCTCATACAGGGGCCTCCTCAGTGCCACCAAGCTATATACAGCCACTGCAATGAATCTGATCAGATTCCTGATCTCAGGCTAGAGAGCTAATAATCCATGTGGCACAATAGACCTCTCCTGCCTCACCTGCTGTTCCCCTCAGCAGTGTACTTCAATCCACCTGTTCTGTTCCCCCGTCTCTGGTGAATCCTCTCACTCTCCACACCTCTGGCCTGTACCCCAGCCCTTGCATACATAAATAAATAAATTTAAAAAGAAAAGAGCATTATAGTAAAATATTCCTACAAGAAACATGAATTTGGCATTTTTAACATCACAGAAACAACTCAGAAAACTAAGTTAAAAGAGTGGATTCAGACAAAAATAGTAAAAAAAAAAAATAGGCTGTTACCTGATCCAATTTGCGTTTCAATGTGGATACTTCCTTAGGATTAGAAAAGGTAATGTCTAATCCAGGTGAAATAGCATAAATGAACTCTATCTCATATTCCCGTGCAGCAGAGATAAGAGTCATAAGTTGCTCTAAAAAAAAAAGACTGTTTTGAGCAAGCACAATTAAAAGAATCTTAACCACTCAACCAATGACATTATTTTCCTCCAATATACAATGAGGTAAGAAAGGAAATCTCTCAGCTTTGACGAAATTATCAGCCTCTCTTGTGACACAAGAGGACAGTCTCAGCACTATGAAGATATTAGTAGCAAGTACAACACAAATTCAATCCCTGGACAGAGAGCTGACCAACAGAGCACAGCCGACCGCTAGTTTTGCCTACGGCAAAGTTCTATTCTGCTACTTCATCATTTCTTAAAAATAGTGAATTAAGGGCCTTCCCCAGTGGTGCAGCAGGTTAAAGCAAAGCACTGAGAAGCTAAAGGTACTTCAGCATGAGTTTGATCCCTGCCCCAGAAGTGATCCACATGTGTGGCAGACCTCTCCTGACTGGCCTGCTGCTCCCCTCAGCAGTGTACTTCGTTGATCTGACTGTTCTGCTCCCCACTTTCTCTCTGGTGAATCCTCTCACCTCCCCTGCACCTCTGGCCTGTACCTCAGTTCTGTATGCATAAATAAATCTTTTTAAAAAACAGTGAATTAAGCATCAATTCTTATTAAATATAAACCACTTTTTATTTCCTATACTATTTGCGAGGTATGTTTTATTGCTTGTTTTTGCAGTCTCTGAACAGAAATTCCTACACGGTAATTATACATATGCAACTATTTTATAATATGGAAGAAAAACACATTAAGCAGCATAGATAGGGCTCTCCCTGGGGGCGCAATGGTTAAAGTACAGCACTGTGAAACTGGACACAGTCACTTCAAAATTATTTCGATCCCTGGCCAGGAAGGTGAGCCACATGTCGAGAAGACCCCTCCAGTCTTGCCCACTGCTCCCCTCAGCCGTGTGCTTCGTAGAACTGCCTGTTCTCCTCACTCTGTCTCTGGTGAAGCCGCTCACTGTCCCTACACCTCTGGCTTGTACCCTAGCCCACTGTATGCACAAATAAATATATCTTTAAAAAAAAATAAAATTTAAAAGTTACCAGCTTCTTCCACTGAATACATCTCTCGCCAAAACATCCTATGCTTGTAATCATCTTTGGGAGCATACAAGTATGTATTTAATTCCCATTTCTGGAGCCTTAAGAGAAAAAAAGTTACATATGCATAAACAGGCAATGTATACAGGCTTTAAATCTCAGTTCTTTCCTTGGAATACCTCCATATTTTATAAAGAAATTTCTAACATCTCTAGTAACATTCTAGAACAAAAGCTTTTAATCTTTTTGTGAACAGTGGAATTGAGGCAAGTGAAGTCCCAAATCTACTGAGCTTCCCCAGGAAAAGTGTGGAAACCAGGCCCTCCATGGTAACGCAACGGTTTTAAAGCACCATCACTGTGAAGGTTCCGCAGCCACTGCAGCATGAGTTTGATTCCCGCCTGCCCTGGAGGTGACCACATGGCACGGCAGACCTCTCCTGACCGGCCCACTGCTCCCCTCAGCCCCCCTCAGCCGTGTGCTGCATTGATCTGGCTGTTCTGCTCCCCACTCTGTGAATCCTCTCACTGCTCCTGCACCTTTGGCCTGTACCCCAGTTTTGTATGCAGAAATAAATCTTAAAAAAAAAAAAAAGTATGGAAACCAATGGCATAGGGAAAGAAATGACCAAAAGAAATTAACTTCCACAACTGAGAAATCATCAAATTGAGAAAATTTATCAAATCTGGCCTGCTCAGTATTAGAATTTTTACAAACAAAAGGAAATGTTAAGGGCTTAGAACTATATATAATAAAAATTTACCTTCGAAAGAGTTCTTTTCTCTGCTCCATAACCCAAGGTCTTCCATAAAACCCTAGATTTAAAGTAAGAATGAAATTATTTTCAAGTTTCAAAATGTAATAAACTGTTTGAGAAAAGTGGGTTATAAAACATTATACAATCCCATTTTACCAAAAAAATGTGTACACTACTTCAAAATCTGAAGAAATTTAGTAAAACATTAATGTATCTTTGGTGGTGATATTCCTTTTGCTTAGATAATTTCTACTATTAACATTTATTTGTTATGAAACAGCTACTTAAAAACAGCTAAACCATTGGCCCTCCCTGGTGGCGCAGCAGGTTAAAGCACAGCGCTTAGCTAAAACCACTTCAGCATGAGTTGATCCCACCTGCCCTGGAGGTGACCCACATGGAGTGGCAGACCTCTCCTGTGCTCCCCTCAGCAGTGTACTTCCTCAGCCAGCCTGTTCTGCTCCCAACTCTGGCTCTGGTGAACCCTCTCACCCCTACACCTCTGGTCTGTACCCCAGCTCTGTATGTATAAATAAATAAATCTTAAAAAAAAAAAAGCCTGAGGATCTCCCTGGTGGCACAAGGGGTTAAGTGTCAGCACTATGAAGCTACCAGTGGCCACAGCAGCAAGAGCTTGGTCCCTGGCCAGGGAGGGAGCTCACTTGGTGCAGTCTTCTCCTGTCTACACCACTGCTCCCCTCAGCAGTGTGTTTCAGTAGATCTGCCTGTTCTGCTCTCCTCTCAGTCTCTGGGGAATCCTCTCACTCCCCACACCTCTAGCTTGTACCCCAGTTCTTGTATGCATAAATCATTTTTAAAATGGGGAAGGGGTATCAGGAAGTGAATTTAAAAAGAAAAAGGGGGCCTCTCTACTGGTGCAGGGATTGAGTCAGCACTTTCAAACAACCACTGAAGAACAAGTTTTATCCCCCACCAGGAAGCTAAGCCACATGGCTCAGCCGACCTTTTCCCTGTCCTGCCTACTGCTCCCCTTAGCAGTGTATGTCAATGGATCTGCCTGTTCTGCTCCCCACTGTCTCTAGTGAATTCCCTCTACACCAACTCTTGTATGCATAAATAATTCTTTAAGAAGAAAAACTAGAAGTAACCCCTAAAATGCCTTAAATTATATTCACAACAAAGCCCAACAGTGGAATTGACCCAAACTGGAAATGCTGAAGCATTCTCAATTCCAGAGCAAAGGTTCGAACAATTAAAAATTCAAGAATGTGACTTACTTCAGAATGTTCCAGAGGGAGCAAAGCACTAGTAATATACACTGCAGGAAACCAAAGCTGCAGACTTGATGACTTAAGCAGTGGTATAAGCAACAAGCTGCTATTTGGAGCTCCCAGTGTGCTAATCACAGCTCCAACCACAAACACCTAACCTTTATTTTCCACCTGTCACAGGCTAATCCTCTCTAGGAGATAAGAACCACCTCTCAAGAACAGCATGAAGATGGTTAAATTGACATTTTGAGTACAAAATGCTCATCACACACTTGTAGGCACTCAGACACAGTCTACACAACTGACAGAATAGAAATTTCTTAAATGTATTAAATTCAAATCTGACAGCATGGTTACCCTGCAACACAGGATAAACCAAAGAAAAAGTCATTACACACCAACGTGTGAAACAGTAGCCCTTTAGATCTTGGCAATTCAATGTTACCCTTTATCAGGTGACTATAAATTAGGTTAATTTTATACCAGTCTTTATAGTTTCTAAATCCTTCAACATTTAGCAATATCATTTTCCTCTTATTAAAGGAGTAGGCACTTAAAACATCCCTTTAGAGTTGCTTTAATATAAAAAAATTTTTTTAAGTGTCTGACCTTAACATTTGAACCTTCCAAAACCTTAACTTTGCTCTTTGAGACTCAGTTCATGATTTTGGTTAACAGGCACCACAAAAGGAAGCAGTGCTATTAGTCATGAGTCAAACCAGCAAAGTTCCGTGTGAAAAAGAGAAAAAAGGAATATTGGCAACACCTTCAGTTATTTTCTATCCTCACTCATTTTAGGAATGGCGCCAAGGTACTACAAGGAGAAATAAAATCAGATGCTCAGTCACCAAGAAAATATACAAGTGAATGGGGAAGGAGGAGGGGGCAAATTCTTCTAGGGGCAGAGCAATTACCTTTTAAAACTATTCTGAAAAACAAATCTATTTAAATCACAATGACCTTTTCTCCATAGTTACTAAAAGACTGAAGAGGCAAAGCTTCCTTGCTCGTCTCACTCACCAGATTCTAGCTCTAACATTTCTACATTCCCCAGCACTGCTTACCCATCCTCCACCCAAAAATTTCTGAAACAGAATACTATGCTTGTTCTAGACTCTTCCTGCGCTGAAGTCCCAAATACATATACCAAGGGATAATATACACAAAGCAATCATGCTCTCATACATAAAATCCAGTCAAAGACAATAGTTTTCCAGTCTGTCTTCCTCCAAATCTGGCAAGATGATTCACTATGACAATCTATTTCACACTTTACTACCCTACCGTAGTTGAAACTAGTCTGCTCTCCCTTAGAACTGACACACTGGAAAAGCTGAAACACTCAACCCTTCTTTTCTTTTCCACATCTTTTTTTTTTTATGAAGACTGATTTTCCTGGGTTACACTGGTGCACATCACTACATAAAGAAAAGGGCAGTGTCCCGCAAAAACACTTCAGAAAATTCAAATACATGCTGTACTTGAAAGAAGAGCAATAATGTAACCGATTTAAGCTTCCAAAGAATGCACAGCCCAATACATGTCCATTGTATTTAAAAACTGATACAATCTTCTGAACATTTCCTCCAACCACAGAAATTGCCCATCATTCCTTTTAAGTGGAAATAGGAAGATGATTAAAAAGAACTCTTTTACAATCACTAAATTCAAACTCCATTTATCTCAAATACTTTGAGAATTTATTATTCAAGTCAAAGCTTCACTCTCCATTTTCTCCTCCACTGTGACAAGAGGAAAATAACTACCATGACTTTCAACGCTTCCTCGAAACCTCAGCAGCAAGGCCCTCGGGCCAAGTGTTTGCGATTTCTTATTGTTGGAGCTTTCACTGTATGCCTGGGGACTGCAGGTTTCTTAAGTTTGCAGCGAATGAACCAAGAAAGAAGGCATAAGCAGATTTCTACAGAAATGACGATTCCATCAGAGTTGGAGATGAGGAAGGCTGTTATCTTTCATAATACAAAATTACCTTGAAACATAAAAGATTTCTTTGAGCTGACTCCCAATGGAAGTTTGTTACTGACCTGAGTTCCTGAATTTTGAATACTGGAGCTAGGAAAGGATTTCTTTTGATCAATACTTTAGGAAAAAATAATAAAGTCAAAGATTCACGGTGGGTGGGGGGGGTGGGAGGGGCGCGGATGCAAAGCACCGACGTTGGCCAATCATAATTTTCAAGGATGCAAATGAAATCTCCAAAGGATGAGGATTGGGGATTTGGTCAGCAAAAAAAAAAAAAAAAAAAATCGAAGCAAAGAAAAATGTGTGAAACTATAGGCCGCCTGTGCTTCTCTTCACTCCGGAAGAATCAACACATCTGTGTGCACATTTTTCCATTTGAACACAGAACACCCCAGGAAATTCGACCCCGAAGTGCAAAGAAATAGAATTCAGAGCCAAACACAAGGCTCTTTAAAGGCGCCTCCGCAGGCGCATGCCTGGCTCCCGGCCCAAGGCGGGTGCGGTCAGGCGTGCTAGTAGCCAGGGGGAAATTCGACGCCGTTTACGAACTGGAAGGGAGATTTGCCCACCCTCTCGTCTCCCCACCACCACCCCCTTTTTTAAAAGCAGGGTCAAATTTCAGACCCACGGGAGTTAGAGCCTTTCAAGCGCCCCAAAGCGCCGCCGCCACCCCCTCCGCAGGAGAGGATGTGTCAGTGCCGGCGCGGGACTGAGGGCGCTCACCTTCCACCACGCCACACAGGAACCTCCGCGCCCCGCCAGCCGCCCGGGTCACCGCAGCTCCGCCAGCCCCGGGTGGGTTGTCTTCTCCGGGGGCCGGAACTGCCGGCGGCTCCAACGCTGCCCCCGCGGAGGCGGCCGGGTTGGCGTTGAGCTCGCTCTCCCGCTCCTCCAGCGCCGCCTGGCTCTCTTTTTGCACCATCCTCCGGCCCACGGCAGTCGCCACCTCTGCGGGTCCTGCTCGGCCTCCGTCCGTCGGGCCGCCGGCCCGGAGCCCTGGTGAGGGCCTCGGCTCCAAGCGCGCGCCCCTCCTGCTCCTCTCCCCCCTCCTCCTTCTCCTGTGCCCTTCCCCCTCCCTATCTGCAGGGACCCGAGTGCCCGGATGAGAAGGGCGGCGGCACCGGCGAGCCCTTTGTCAGCCGCTGCCACAGCCTAAGCTGGGGAGCTGGAAGTCTACGTGGCGAGCGCGGCCACAACCTCTCCGTCCCTTGAGGCAGACAGCCAAAGGTCCTCTTCTCAGGCTCAGCCTCGGCCGCCCTCCCAATGTCCTAGTCCTTCCGCTATTTCCCCCCGGTAGCCCCTGGGTCTCCTCTGCCACTGCCTCCACCGCCCGCTTCCTGTTTATCCGCACTGCGCCTGCGCCGGAGACCGGCTCAGACCGGTCCCCTCAGCCCGGCTCCCCCGCCTTCTTTTGGACTAGCCTACTGAGCTGCATTCGGGAGGGGAAACTAGAACTGAGAGGCGGCGGAGAGCCGGCGGTAGTGAAGGCGGTGGGGTGTACCATTTACGCTCTTCACCCTCGCGAACGAGTCCGGCGCCCTGGAACGAACCATTACTCCACCCCCTAGAAGGGGACTCTGGGAGGAGGCCACAGCCGGTTGGGGCAGCGAGGAGAAAGGGGGGTAGAGGGTGAAAGGAGAGGTGTTTACTCTCCCAATGCGCAGGCGCGGAAACGAACCCTCTCGTTCTTAAAGAGACAGCGGGAATTGACCTACTTTCTACTGCGAGTCTTCTAATAGGTTGTCTCATTACATCATCATGACCCAGGCTCGGTTCTATGAAAACAACACTCCAGGGAGCTCAGCTTACCCCTCAGTCTTGAATCATTTCCCCCTATTTCCAGTTTAGCACTAACCTTTTTAAGTTTTCAGTCACCCGTTCGTTCCTCCATTCTGCAGACACCTATTGAGCTCGCCTCGCGCTGACTCTCGGGCCACTATGAGCTCACAGTAATAGCGGTGAAGGTGCACAGACCCATGCTGTGTGCCGAGTGTGGCGGAAGCACGGAGGAGGAACCAGCTTAATTCTTCGGGGACCGGCTATGGCAAGAGCATCACTTGTGAGCTGAATCTTAAAGGATGAGTTGGAGGAAGAAGAGAGCGCTCAAGGCAAATGGTACAGAATCCGAGCTAAGGAGGGATGAAAAGCCCTGGCTTACTTGGAAATGGGGAGCACACGGGAGCAGTGAGATCCCCTGGGCTTCAGCGTAAACATCACCTCCTTGGGAAATCAACCCTAAGCGTTGGGTGGGCTTGGCGCCTCTTGCTGTGTTTTCTGAACTCCCTGTAGTTCTAGCATAATGAATTGTACATTTATATTTATTGAGAGTTCTGTCCCAACTCCTTAGGTATAAATGGGAAGTGAACATCTATCTCATTCTAATTTAAGACAGAATTCATTGTATTCGACTCCTACAACAGTTGACCAACCTTAGCACCCCGGCCTCATATAAGTCTCTCTTTTTAGTGGTGTATAGTGTCGAAATAGGGGTTTGGGGCAAGCATCTTTCTTTTTTGTTTAAAGATTTATGTATGCTTACAGAACTGGGGTACAGGCCAGAGGTGCAGGGGCAGTGAGAGGATTCACCAGAGACAGTGGGGGAGCAGAACAGGCAGACTGACAAAGTACACTGCTGAGGGGAGCAGCGTGCGAGTCAGAAGTCTGGCCGGCCAAGGATCGAACTGAACTGGTGCTGCAGTGGCGTTGGAGATCTTCATAACCCTTGCGACCTCAGGGAGAGCCCTGGGGCAAGCATTTCTGAGGGGACCTTCTTTGATAACTCATGGTCCCTTTGGGAAACTGGAGGACTGGCATTCCAGCTGACTGCAATTCACTCTGCCTCACACCTCACATGGGGCATCTGCAGCAAGTCAGCAACCAGGGATTCATCTATTCTCCAGAGTCCAGACTCTAAGGTCTGTGGCCCAATCAAGATTCTCCTTCCACATTGTAGCTCTCAAACTTGAAAGGCAGTTCTTGACACACAGTTGCCACATCCTCTCTCCATACCAGACCTCCAAACCTCAGCATCTACAACAGGAACCAGAGCTTAGTAAAACTATGATAAATATCTGTAGAATGAATGAAGTAGGACCTTGCCCACACAGATTCTGGTTGTGGGGTCATAATAGCAAATTCAACAGGTGCAGAAACTGAAAGGGGAAGATAGAGATGCAATGAACAATAACCACAGCAAGGAAGAGCTACTTTTCCGGAGAATAAATAGTAGCCTAAGTGAGCAACATAGTAAATAGTGTCTTAGACAAAGTCACAACGGAGATAGAGATAGTGTGCCTTGGTGGTAGAATTGGTGACTGACTTAAGGAGGATTGAGGAACAGTGGCCCTCCGCAGCCACTGCAGCACAACTTCAATCCCTTAGTCAGGGAGTTGACCCAAATGGTGCAGCAGACCTCTCCTGACCCACCCGCTGCTCTCCTCAGCAATGTATTCAGTAGATCTTCCTGTACTGCTCCCCACTCTGTCTCTGGGGAATCCTCTCACTGTCCCCCCACCCTCACACCTCCCTGTAACCCAGTCCTTGTATGCATAAATAAATCTTTAAAACAGAGGATTGAGGGGCCCTCTCTGTTGGCGCAACAGGTTAGGACACAGCACTGCAAGCAGCCACAGCGAAGGTTCAATCCCTGCCTCCTGCCCCCCCCAGGTGATCCACATGGTGTGGCAGACCTCTCCTGACCCACCTGCTGCTCCCCTCAGCAGTGTACTTCATTGATCGTTGATCTGCCTGTTCTGCTCCCCACTCTCTGGGGAAGCCTCTCACCATCTCTGCACATCTGGCTTGTACCTTTATTTATTCTGTAGAATAAATAAATCTTAAAAACAATATATTTTTTTTTTTAAAAAACTGAAGACTCCCAAGTTTTGCCTGAGTAACTAGATAGATAGTGTCACTTGCTGAGATGAAGCAGATTGGGAGGGTGTGACCTGAAACTCCATGTTGAACATGTGAAGTTTGACCATTAAAGTCCATGTGAATATGTCAATTAGGCAATTTGGATAATAAGGGGTTTGAAGCTCTGAGAGTTCTGGGCATATAAATCTAGGAGTCCTCTGCATATAGATGGTACTTAAAACCATGCAATTGAACATTATCTAGCTGTGGGCATGTTTAGAATTCCATTTGAGAAGGATGCAAGGAAGAGCTGATGAAGGGTAGCCAGAAAGGCAGGAAAAAAAGGGATTATGAGTTATTGGAAGATAAGAAAGGTGTGTTTAATATAGCTAATGGCCAAAAAATGCATAGAATGTCAATGTGTGGTTTTATTTAGAGGGTACGGTCATCTCACTAGCAATTCTCAGTTTCAGGCTTCAACTGCCCTCAAACTTGAATCTACCCTAACAACAGCAACAAAAGTGGATTCATACCTAGCCCAGTTATATTCACTGTGCTCATTCATCTAATCAATTACACAGTGATTCCTACAATTGTAAGGTGCCAGCTCTCAAGGACAGGATAGTGATGGGGAAAAAAACCTAGCCCAGGTACTCAAGGTATGCTTAGCTCAGTGTATCAAAATGGTTTGACAATCACTCAAATAAATATATGCTTAAAGAATAAGAAGTGTTGGGGGCCTCCCTGGTGATGCAAGGGGTTAAGTCTCGGCATTATGAAGCTTAAGCAGCCACCTCTGGCCTATACTGCACTACTTGTATGCATAAATAAATAAATTTTAAAAGCAAACTAAGAAGTGTCATAAAGTATTGAGTACCATGAGAGCCTGCCACAGTGTTGCCTTTAGTTTATGGGTGACATACACAGCACTTACTCTTCATACATAACTCCTTACTGTGCTCCAAGGTCACATTAACCCTCCTATAAATTCACTGGGTGACACTGAGCAAGTCATTGCCCCTCTTTGGACTTTACCTTTTCTGTGCACCAATAGGCTTATAGACTAGATCACAGGTTCTTAACTTAGGGTCCATGCATGCACTTCAGGGGCAAAAAGTATATGGAAAGGCGTGCATCTTTTTTTTCTTTCTGGATAGTAGGCCACAACTTTTTTTTGCATAGAAGTTCTATAGGCCAGAGGTGCAGGTAGGTGAGCATATTCACGAGAAGAAGAGTGGGGAGCAAAACAGGCAGATTGACTGCTGTGGGAAACAGCGGGTGAGACAGAAGAGGTCTGCTTCACCATGTGGGTAAGTTCCCTGGCCCAGGATTGAACTCAGGTCACACTGGTAATAGCATGATAGCACTTGAGACAACCCCTGTGCCCTCCCTGCACTGCTTTAAAAAAAAATTCTATTCATTTAGGCATACAAGAATTGGGGTGTAGGCCAGAGGTGGGGGTTGAGAGAGTTCACCAGAGATAGAATGGGGAGCAAAAATACACTGCTAAGGGGAGCAGTGGGTGAAATAGAAGAGGTTTGCTACACCCTACATGGGTTAGCTCCCTGGCCCTGGCCAAGAATTGAACTCTGGCCATCAGAGTGATAGTGCTGAAACTTAACCTCTAGGCTATAAGGGAGGTACTTTCATCAGCTACTTCAGGACATTATGACCCAAAGAAACCCAAAGGCCTAAGGAATAGGTGGTTGTATGATGTGAGCAGAAACACCGATGATAAAATGAGGAACTCTGGAAGTCACTTTTGTTTCTTAGCATCTTCCTCCCTTGACCTTGTCGTGTAAGATAATGGAAAAGAAAGTCTGGCCCTTCACCACATAATGGAACCTGAAGGAAAGGAGGACCAGGACAAAGAAAGGTTCTGTTTCCTTTTGGTTTACCTGTTCCATGGTAACCTGCCTAGGATCCATTCTGTTTGACTCCCATCATTCCTGGCTGGAGTATGGATATACTTGAGGCAAAGTTACAGTATTTACAAAAAGGAACTTTCATTAGACACTAAAGGAAAATATCTCCCTGAACAGAAAACACTCTGAGATTAAGTACGATGTTTAGTTTCCAAATAACAGTCTTCAGGACATGGATATCATTCCTCTCCTGTTTTGTCTCAGGGCGTAATTCACATGGCAGCCTCGCTGAGATCAGGTGGGTTTCCAACACTTCCAGAACCTGTGCCTCAGTCTCCTGCTGAGGGCTGGCCATTATATGGGGGAGAGAAACATTTTCTTTGGGATCTAAAAGGCTGCAGGTGTATGTGTTAGGAGGTATGTGATGGGATGGGACAGACAAGAAGGCAGAGATAGCAGCCCGTGCATAGCCATTGTGTTTTATTGGATCTGTTTTTTCTTCTTTTACAAAATATACAGAGGAGTCAAAAATGCAAAGCAGTCAACAGTATTCTGATAGGAAAGGGGCTCTGGGGGACCCTACCCCTCAGACCCTGGCAGACTGGTAGAATGAGCTAAATGGGACAAGCAGGTCTATTCAGAGTGGCAGCATGGCAGGAGTTCTGACAAGGAGGTGGGCCCTGGGTCCTGTGGCCTTGCCTTCTAGGTATGCTCGGGGCATCTCTGGGTAGGTTGAATAGGGCAAGGGGAGACCCTAGGTGGAAACTAAGGCTATGTGGGGAGTTGGAATAGAGCCTGGGTTCACCCAAGATGCTAATGAATGCCCCCATGAACCCATGCTGGGTTCAGATGCTATGCCTCCCTCCCTCTTCCCCTTATCTTCTAAGGCATCCACTGGATGGTCCCTGAATTACTACTTCATGCCTCCAAGTCTAGAGGAAATGCTAAATGAAAACTCAAGTTGTAGTTGTCAGGGAAGGTAGGCTGAAATTTTGGCAAGGATCATCCAGGATATCTCCCACCCACTTTCCCCTGCTGCCACTCCCACAATAAACAGAAAAGGAGACGAAAGAATTCTGTGGTTGAGCCAGACACTAGGATCCCAGGCTCTCTTGGGCATTATGTCTTTTGAAGAATCTGGAAACTCCTATTCTGTGGTGTGAGGTGACAGACCTGCGGGGCTCAGAACTTCAGCCTGGCGTGCCTGAGCTCTTACTGATAATCACCAGGACTTCTGCTCTTGACTCCAGCTGCCTCCCAGGACCTAACCGCTGGTTCCTCCCTCTACATTCCTCCTACAAGTATCTCAAAGGCTAGCTAAAAAGTCAGTGCCAAGACAGAGCATCCTCTTTGAGAAGGAGTCTTAGGGGAAATGTTTATGGGATCAGGGATGGGAAAAGCACCATAGCAGGAGACATTGTGGCTATTGTGGTTCTAGAGTGGGGTTGGGAGGTGGAGAACCACTCGGTTCCTACAGCAGAGGCACCCTCAGCACTGAATGTTAGGCAGGAAGGAGGTGGGACCTGCTGGAGTTGGAACACCCTGTGGTTGTGCTCTGCCCACTCCTTGGCCCATTCTGCACCAGCAATCTGGACCGCTGAATCCCCAGGCTCTTGGATCCCAACAGCCCCCAGGGTAGGGCTAAGATGAGGACAGACCTGGGAAGAGAAGGGTGAGGTCCACCAGGACTAGGACTAGAGCATGAACCCCAGGACAACTGACCCCCCTCCTGGGGAGCTAGATGACATTGTCAAAGAGTTGCATGGACCTCATGATGTTCTCGTCCTGGAGCCATGGTGTGAGAGAGGCAGATTGGAAAGAGAAAGAAAAAGAACTTGTCAGAGACAGGGAGGAGGACACCAGGTCAGAAATAGCGACATTCATGACACAGAGAAGCAGAGAGGAAGGAAACACCCAGAGACCTGAGATAGGGATGGGACAGGGTTCTCCAAGTTGTAAGGGAAAAGGACTGGGGAATGGGGGTTGGGGGGAGAAGGTAGGTGTTGTAAGGTGTTACTCTGCCCAAGAAAGCCTTCTCCTACATCACTGAATGATGCCTGAGTCCAGACCAGGCAAATGAGGAGGGCAGGGGCCTATACCTTTTGACATGACTCAATGAATTCCTCAATGGTCACCACGCCATCCTTGTTCCTGTCCATCTTCTGCAAAAAGGTAATCAGGTAGGGAGAATAGGAGGGAATGGCAGGAGAGAGCACGCAGAACTTGTGTAAGTTCTTTGCTCAAACATTTGCCTCATTCCCTTCACTCCAGGACCCACCCAGTCCAGGCACCTGGAAGAAGCTCTCCACGTGTTCCCTTGGGGCCTCCTCCCGGAGTGCAGGATATGTATACTTGCCCATCATGTCATAGATGGACTTCATGATATCAAGCATTTCCTGTTAAACCAAGAGAGAAGAGCCTCCAGCCTCTAAACCAGGAGGCCAAAGGCCTAGGGTAAACCTCACTCCTGGTGATGCATTATGTGGGCCACATATCCCTCCTGAGGCCCTTTGCACCTCCCCACACACATGCAGCCCTCGAGCTCTTCAGTTGCTCCACACCTCCTTGGTGATGCAGCCATCCTTGTTGAGGTCATACAGGTTGAAGGCCCAGTTCAGCCTGTCATCTATAGTTCCCCGAAGAATCACTGACAAACCAGCCACAAAGTCCTGAGAAGAAGGGAAGAAGGAAGCTGTGTCAGATACCCTTCACCCAACCCCCCACTCTGGATACGTTTTGTAGAGCCTAGCCCACTCCTCCAGCTCACCTCAAAGCTAACTGAGCCATCATGGTTGGTGTCAAAGGCATTGAAGAGAAAAGTGGCATATGTGCTGGAATCTGTAGGACAAACATTGATAAGCCTGGCTCCAGACAAGAGAAGACTTCCTACTGCCATAGCATCCCCAAGTCCCTCTTAGCATTTGGCATTCCTACCCCCTCCAGAAGCCCTCCCCCATTCAGCCTAGAGATGAACAGCTGCTTTCTCTCAGGCTTGACCCCTCACCTCCTTGAGGAAAGAACTGGGAGTAAATCTGCTTGAAGTTTTCCTCATTGACAATTCCGCTGGGACATTCCTAGAGGGGGTGGGAAGAGATCCTGGCTGAAGGCAGAGACAAATTCCCCTTCCAGTCACCCACGCCCTACTCACAAGCACCCTTCTTGCCCAGAATCTCCCAGGGAATCTTCTTGTCTCTTGAAGACACATCATGTAGCTCTTCTAAATGGGAGCATGATTTCCCCCTAAAAGTACATCAAACTGAGGTCCTCCCAGGTGGCGCAGGGGGCTGGAGTGCTGCACTACGAAGCTAAGTCAAACCATGGCCACTTCAGTGCTTGCTGGATCCCAGCCACGGAGCTGACCCACATGGCTCGGCAGACCTCTCCTGACCCGCCCGCTGCGCCACTCAGCAGTGTATTTGTCCATCTGCCTTTTCTGCTCCCCACTCTGTCTCTGGTGAATCCTCTCGCTGCGCCTGCACCTCTGGCCTGTACCCCATTTCTATATACATAAATTTAAAAAAGTATATCAAACTAACTGGCCTGTCCATAGCTTCTGCCAGCTTCCAAGTAGTCCACACTCAACCGGTCTAGGGGCCCTTCCACCCACTCCTCTCGCAAATCCTCCAGGCCAACCCTTCAAAAAGTCCCACCCTCCCTCCCACCCTACTCCTGCCCCACTCCTGTCCCATGCAGTTTGGCCTCCCCTAGCACTCAGATTCTAGAACACTCATACACACTCACGTTCTTGAAGCCCCGGTAGAGGACCTGCAACTCTTTGCGTGTGAACTTAGTTTGCTCCTGCAACTGCTCCAGACCCTCAGGCCGGTGACATACGGTGGACAGCTCAAATTCATCCTCCACGCTGTCTGTTGGGAGGGAAGTGAAGGGGGGGGAAGGAAAAAAGGGAGGGACAGCCGACCCTCAGGCCTGACCCCCACACCCCTTCTTCTAAATCACCTGCCTACTCATCTTCCCACCCACTCCCTCATCTCCAACTAAAGACAGTAGCTTGTCTGTTCCCTGGACCCTGAGCTGAGTACATCAAGGCAAGGAGAAAAAGTGCTGATCAGGCTCAAGGTCTATCAGCTGCAGACCCAAGGCCAGGGGTCCCAGAGCCAGGGGCCCGAATTGGCGCTGGCCCCAGGGTCCTTGATCCCTGGCTCTAGAGGAAGGCACCGGCCCCATCAGCCCAGAAAAGAAGGGCAGAGAAAGCAGATTGCAGCGGGGACGTCTGAGCAGCTCCCACCTTCCTTCCGCAGACCAGATCCACTCAGACCCGCCCAGCGCCCAGCCCCAGCCCCAGCCTTGCCCCACCCAACCCCTTCCCAGCAGCCCTGTCCCACCCTTCTCAAGCGGTGCCCAAGCCATGCCCCGCCCAGCGCAGGCCAAGCCACTTCCAGCCCCCACCCAACCCTCCAGCACCCCTCCCCACACCCCCCGCCCCGTAAGCTTTAGCAAAGGCCCCAACCCCCACTGCATCTCAGTGCTGCCCAACCCCCAACATCCAGTCCCCAGGCAAATAACCCCCACCACACTTGCGGAGCTCCCCCACCCCCCAGGAGAGTAAGTCACCTGGGTCCAGCGGGCGGGGTCTGTGGGGGCGAAGGGAGGCTGGGGCGGCTAATGCTGAAGGGAGTGAACTGTCACCGAGAAAGCGGAAGACCCGGCCAACTGCAGACACACACCTCACACTCACAGCAAATCTCACAGACCTGCATGTTACAATGCACATACCGCAGGCCCGCGGGCAAAGGCACACGTAACGAAGGAGCACTGACACACGGAATGGACCCCACCCACACGAGTTTGCGGGACTCACTCCTGCCCTTTCCGAATCGACACCCGTGTGGGACGCAATCGCAACGGTACTCTTCAGTAACTACTAGATGGGCCTTTATGACTTGCAAAAAACAGTATGATCCTCCGAAGTGGGCAAGGCCCAACTAAGGAAACAGACCTATAGACAAAGCGAGGTCACTCAAGTGGGGACCAGGCTCAGACTAGAAAACCCAAAGATTCTGGTATCGGAAGGAGCCAGGGTCTGTCCTCTACACCCGCACCCATCCAGTCGGGGTAGGGACAACATACATCTGAGACCCATAGTCAGGGACAGTGCGGGAGGCCACCCCGAAGAGTGCAGACACCCCGCAAGCTGCGCGCGGACACACACACACACACACACACACGCATACACACACACTTAGCCTCAGCCCGCCCACACAGGTAGTTGAAGCTCCCCGGGTCTGCCAGGTTGGAGCACCTGTGGCGTGCAGACGCTCGGGCCCCGCCCCTCACACTCACCACGCCCACTCACGCAGGTTTGTGGGCTTTGTAGCCACGCCCCCACTTCCGCCCAATCAGCGCTCACCCCGCGTTGGCCACGCCCACCTCGCCCACATTGGCCACACACACACACACACACACACACACACACGGCCCCGCCCCCGGAAGCACAGTAGAGGCACTTGCTTTCACTGACTGAGGGCAGGGCTTGGGGCCCGCAGCAAGGCAGCAGCTTGAGGAACCGCTGCTTCAACGCTTTTTTAGTAGGCCCTGGAGGGTGGCCTGGGAAGAGAGAAGACCCCAGGAAGGCACATTAACCCCCACTGCCCCTCCACTCCCTGTCCCCTCCCCACCAGTCACAAATAAACCCCGTTGGGGCTGGGGTGGAGTAGGGGAAGGATTGGAGAGGGGGAACAGCAGGGTAGTTGAGGAAGAGCCCAGTGGGTTTCTCAGGCCTGAAAAATCCTCAGAGGTACCTTGTTACAATGGGATGCAGCTGGGGACAGAGAGGTGCAAGGGGAGGAGGAAGGTGGCACTGGGGTGTTGACCAGTGCTCTTGGCTCCAGTGCTTAGCTAGGAGTTCTGCAGGAGGGGTCCAACCCAAGGATCGCCTCCGTAGGAACCCCGAGCGCACTCTCTCTCTCACACACAGCAAGAAGTAAACAGTGACACAAGGAATGATAGATGCCATGCAGTGACATCTTGATACCCAGCAACTCGCTCATAGCAGTGGCCTAATAAACAAGCCCCTACACACACACACACACACACGTGCGCACACACACACATACACTTTGACCTAGTATTCCTTACATATACAAATGTGACCTAGGAGAAAGATGACACATATGGGGACCCATACAGGTCATCTTTAACACTGCATGATCCAGCCACACACAAAGACCCTGGGACATCATGACGTGTGTTAAGTACACTATGACACACTGTGACTTTATAACATGACACATATCAGGCCACCATGACACCTATTTTGTGGCCCTGGTCCCCTTGGCACCCAGATATTGAAGACTGCACTTCACCCACAAGACCTTTATTGTTCCTGGGGTTACCCACCTTTCTTTCCTATAGACCTTCATTCCAAGTCATCTAGACACTTCCTGCCAGACACTTCATGCTCTTCATCAGCTAATTCATTTACCCTACAGGTGTGTCCCTTCCTGGGACAGTAGGGTTTCCTCTTTGAAGGTAAACAGCAGCAAACTTTATGACAGTAACAGCCTGGAGATGACTATTTGGTGTAAAGTAGAGCCCACTGATCACAATTCCCTGCACTGCCCTTATTTGTGCAGGCATCCTACAGTTCTACCTGCACCCTCCCTCCAAGTTCCTGTGTGTGTGAGTCTACATCTCAGGCTGCATTCCAGAGAGCCCCAAGAAGACCCTGACCCCACGCCAGTATCAGCCTCAGGAGAAGGTGCTGTTTTCAGGAGGTAACCGCTTTAAGTCATAGATTCCTCCCCCTTCTACTCTCTCACCTCCCCTCCCTTACACCCACCAGAAGTAGGGAAAAGGAGAGGGAGACAGTGGGCCTGGTGGGGGGTCGATGAGGGACTGGCCTCCTGCCCAGGGCTCCATTAGCTCAGACTTTGGTTTCTAAAGCCAGATTGTGCCCAGGGCCTCCGGTGTGTAGTCACTGCTGCTACTGTACTCGGGGGAGAGGGGGCAGTTGGTTCTTCCACAAGCCTCTCCCAGCTTACCCTGCTTCACACATCCTCCTCACCACCTGGCCCCAGGCATACTGCTCTGGGGTGATGTTTCTAGGCTTCTCCCAGGTGGGAAGAGAAAGGGATGCCTTGGGTTTTCTGGGCCAACCCTTTTCCCACCAAACAGTCCAAGTGATATGACAAGTTAGAGCCTGCCTTTTAGGGACTGGATAAAAACAAGCTCAGTCCAACCTCCCAGTTCAGCAAGGACCAATGCCTGCTCCCGCATCACCCCAATAAATGCAGCAGAAGCTGCAGGATGGGCTAGGAGCTTTCTGCTCTTCCTGAGCACTGCGCAGTTCGGGCACCTCCCTCTGTCCCCAGCTCCCTTCACACCTTTCAGTTCCTCAGGGAGTCTACCCTGCAGTAGCCTACCCTAGTTCTTGCCAGTTTTCCTGTCTTTCGTGGAACTGGGGAAGGGCCAAGCTATGGAGCTGCCTAGTTCTTTGTGTGGGAGAGGAAGATGGTCCAAATCATTCTCCTCGCTTGACTGAGTGTTGAGGTGGAGAATTAACTTCCTATTCTCTCTGTCCAGATTCTGGAGCCCATTCTGTTCCTGGATCCTAGGAGAAAGTGGGAGAGGCAATGGGGCTTGGGAAGCAGGCTCCTGATCTGACCCACCCCTCACCCTCTCTCCTGAGCTGAAGTAGTTGTGTGTCACTCATGGTGTTCCCAATCCTGTCTCCAAAAGCCACCCCAACTCAGCCTTGAGTATGGAACGGTATATATGCAGGGAACTCCAAGAACAGCTGCACACACAATCAGATACCCAAAGAGGCTCAGCCATACACCCAGCTCCCCTCAGACACTGTCATGCCTGTCACACACCCTGTCACTCTGACACAGACACAGGCTCACGTGGTTGTACCCGTTGTCCTTTCTCACACGCAGTCACATCTCCCCATCTCTCAGTGTGTCACACAACGATGCAGGTGTGGGGAGTCACACCTATTGTCAGAACTGTTGTGGGCCCCCGGACCCAAAAGGGACTCCCCAGAAGTCTGATGCCATCCCACAGTCTCTGGGACTTCCTTCTTCTCTATGAACCGTTCCTCATGTCCCCCCAGGCCTCTCAGGCCCCCTCATCTCCATGCCCCAGTCCTCCTATGCCACACCCTCATCATCTCCCCAACACCCCATCCGGCCCCCTCTCTTCAGATAGCCAGTACCCCAGATGCCCTCCTCAGGTCCCCCTGACCCACTCTTCCAGTCTACTTCTTTACCCCTCCCACATGCCCTGTTCCCCAAGAGCCCCTGCTCACCAAACACATGCGGGATCACACCCCTCTCTCCCTGTCACAGAGGTAGGGCAACCCCTCCCCAACACTTCAGGTGGCTGTGGGACACTGGGTTACCTTCCAAGGAGACAGGCTCAAAGAGGCCGAACTGCTCCAGGACCTTGACAAACAGAGTGAGGACCACGAGCACTGTGACCATCTCCAGCCCTTCCAGGTTCATGGTGGACCTGGGGCATGGCCTCCTGCTGAGGCTGACCAGCCAGCCTGGCCTCCTCACAGCTCTTTCTCTTAGGTTCCCCAATCTGAGTAAGACTGACTGCAGCTTCCTTCTCCCAGTCCCTCCCTGGATCCTCCCTCCCCTCCTCCCTACCCCCTGCCCCAGCACCTCTCAGCCACAGCCTCTCCTCTTTACAGGGCCACCTCAGTCTGAGGCCTGGCACCTCCTCAGGAGACTTTGGCACAGAGGATATGGGCCAAGACAGACAGGCAGGCGGAGGAGGGAAGCAGTGACCTGCCTCTGCCATCCCCCCAACCTGGTGGCCACTCTGCCATAGGGAGGGGAGAGAGGGAGGAGCCTGCCTCAGGAGAAGGCAGGGCAAGGCAGTATGCACGGGAGAAGCTATGGTCTGCACATATGTAGCAGCAGTGGTACAGGTCATGTGTATGGCTGGGTGTTTCCAGTAAGTGCTCCCATATGAATGCAGAGTATGTGGGTCTCCTCTTATATGTGTCTTGCATTTACGGGTACGTGAACTGAGTGTCTATGCATGTGGGAAGGTTTTGCAGTATTTCTGAGTGTATATGAGGTGTAAGGTATCTGTATTTTAATGGGGTTGTAAGACATGGGTCTGAAGATTGGTAGTATGAATGTGTCTTATAATTAGAAGTCTGGGTCTGTGGTTGTGTAACTGCATCTGCATGAACTGTATGAGAATATGGAGGAGGGGGCTGGAGAAGGAGTGACCTCTCCCTGCAGGCTGAAATCACCAGTATCGATTATGGTTACCATGGAGACTGAAGGGCAGGAAGCACTCTCCTCCTGCAGGCCACAGATAGGGAAACTGAGACCCAAGGGAGGGAGGATTAGCCTGAACAGGAAAAAGGTTGCTTGGCCAATCACCACCCTGGGGGGAGGGGCTTATTATAGATGCTTTGGGACTTAGAGACTTGAGTGCCAGGGGAGAGGAGAAGGGGCCTTACTTTTCTTTCCTCCTGGCTGGTACTCCATCCTGGAGCTGTGAAAGCCTGCCTGCTCTTTGGGAATCTGTATAGAACTAATGAAGCAGCCCAGAGTGAGGAAAAAAAATCTGAACCCCTCCAAGGGAACCACCCACGCACTACTCATGTGGAGCCCCTCCCCCATGATCCAGGTTCCTTCCTGGAGGGGGGTGAGGGGAAGGGTGGGGAAAGGCCGAACCTGGGAGCCACAAGATGCTGGCCTCTGTCTGCCCCTGCTGTCTACTGTTAACTGAGCACTCCTGTGTCTAGATTTTGTGCCATGTGCTTACAGACTTCACGTTGAATTTTCACAGCAAACCTATGAAAGAAGGTCCCACATTCATAGGCGGTGAAACTAAGGCAAAGGAGATGAAGCAAATCTCTGAGATGAGAGTCAGAAGCCAAATGAACTCCTGATTCTGAACCTTCCTTTGAAACCACCACTTTATACTGGTTCTCTTAGACAGCTTGCCTACCCAGGAGGCCCAGTGTAAGGGGACTGCCCTGGAGTAAGCCTTCCCCCTTTGTCCAATGCTGGGGTGATGTCTCAGTGACAACTGTGTGGGGCATCAGGGTGTCCCAGTCCTGAAAAGCATCATTTAAAGTTCCCTAACATGCAGTTCTACAGAGCCACCACCAGGGGCCACTCTTCCTTTCACACTCGCTCTTACCCCTTTCCTCTCCCTTCAACACTCAGTCCCACCCCCCACCCAGACAAGACCGGAAAGGAGTGGGGTGGGGAATGATTTGTCTCAGGCAGGCTTCACCTTC